GTGTGTGTGTGTGTGTGTGTGTGTGTGTGTGTGTGTGTGTGTGTGTGTGTGTGTATGTGTGTCCGTAATGGGTGGGCACCCTCCAGTGTGGTTGTGAATGTGACAAAAAGGCGCAGACTGACGCCCCGGGATGCCTGGATGCAGCCAAGTCGATGATGCCATGAGAAATGAATGGGGCTGAGAGGCTGGAAAACAGAGCTCGAATGGACTCTGCCATCAATTATTTCCCCCTCTGACCTTAATTAAATGCAGATTAAATAAACTGAAACCACTGAACGTAATCCCCCCCCCCACCCCCCCACCCCCATATCAGCTGCTTGGGTATGTATGATGGTGGTACGCACAGAAAATCAGCCAGGGTGGACCCTTTGTTCGTTCTTATTTTTAGGTTTTTAAGCGATGGGAGGTGGTCTGCATGAGCGATCGGTTCTGTTTACGGGATGCTTCGTGTGAGTCCTGCATGTGGATGTGCATGTGCTTCCTGGGTGGGGGTGGTGGTGGTGTCTGTCGCTCATGCAGCTCACCTCGACGTCTCCTCAGACAAACAAAATGCCACCTGAGCATTTTGATTTTCAAACAGTGGAGCAGTCAGACAACAAAAACAGCTGCTTTTTACTTTATTTTATTTTTATGATGGGTGTTTCTTGATTGTCATGAACATTTTGCTCCATGTTTGCAGCATTTGAAGAACTGCCTGTGGTTTTAAAATAATTTATTACCCTAAAACATATTAACACAAACATACCCCAGTAAAATATCTTAACGCATATACAACACATTGTGTATTAGTATCAGACTCAGGGATTTTTCGTTCACTTTTATTTATTTGAAAAATCTACAGTTTAAACTTTTACATGCATGACTTTTTATTAAAGGGTGTGAGCCGGTGCAGAGCAGATAAGATAAAACTTATTCTTCACAGCATCAGGAGTCGTGTACGGAAGCCAAGAGCTGCCCTTTTTCGCTCATAATTTTTCCCCAGTTTCCTCAAGATGACGAGTTAATTTCCAGATGGTTTTCCTCTCGTGTATCATTCAGTAACCATGAAGATGGCCTGACCCCCTCAGCTGGTCATCGATGAAGTTTACTATTTATTTTTTTATTTACTGTTATTTAACCAGGAAAATCCAACCACAGATCTCTTTCGCGGTGTGCGGCCTGGGCCTGAAGGCAACATAGTGTGCATAATCTTATGTCAGTTTTGTATCGTTACACGGGCTGAAATTGCAATTTGTTTGTTTCGCACAGATAAATTTCATGTCAGCCCTCGTCATTTAAGGAGATGGCTGGCCCGACTGCAGCTCAGCAGGCGTGCACACAGTGATCGTGCTGATAGCATAAATTTTATTGTGCAGCTGAGAGGACGGGGCCGTCTCCATTGTTACTGAATAATGCACAAAAAAACATAACTTGTCATCTCGAGAAAACGGTCATCGTTATTTTGTGATAAAGACATATATATCATCATGAGAAAACCAAGGGGAAAAATAAATGGAAAACAGCTTCTGTAGTCAATCACTGAACGTGAAAAGATTTGTAGCTGAAACAATAAGAAATATATGAAAATACTTCAATTTTTTAAGCATGATGATTGAACACAAACATTTTGGATAGGGGGGCAATGATACGTGTATCTGTATAGAACCATTCAATACAGAGCTTTAGGTTACTAATAATAATAATAATAATAGAGACTGTGTGGAACAAAACAGATTTTTAACAATTAATTTATCATCTTTTCTTCTGAAGATGCTCTGTGTTGAAGGATCAGTGGATCTGTGTTCGACTACTCCACCTAGGCTGCATTGTCGAGCACAGATCCACTGAGAAATTTGCTGTTTCAGCAACATTTCATTTAAAAACTAGAGTTTTGAGTTTAAACAAATGTTCATGATTATTTTCAATAAATCCCAAGTTAATAAGGGCATGGACATTTCTCTTTTTTGTATCAAAAAATATCGAACCGTGAGACTGAAGTATGGAACCGAATCGTGAATTTTCTGTATCGTTGCACTCCTAGTTTTGGAGCATGAAACTTGTTGAACTGCTTTAATGAATCAGAATCAAAATAATTTTTAAAAAAATCTTATTGAAAAAAGTGGATTAAAATAGATTGTTTTTGTTGTTGCACAGAGAATGTTAAACTTCCCGAATGGCACTGCATGTTTTAGACAACTGCAAGTGATTAAATTGTTTATACGTATACTGCAAATATTACAAATCCCTAAAAACGATTTTCTTTGCTGCACTTTTAGTTTCACAGCTGAACACGGATTTGATTTCTGTTGCCGTGTTTCTCATTATGCTTTTTTTACCCCCCACCCCTCCACTTTCACCCACACGCAGGACGATCCTCATTCCCAGAACAAGCTGGAGGACCCGGTGAAGGCTCCGCCCAAGGAAGACGACGCCCTCAACATCCACAACTCTCTGACCCCCAAACACGAGAACCACAAGGTCCTGGGCGAGGAGAACTCCTCGGAGGTAAACTCACTGCAGAACAACATGATGTGAATCAAAAACGAGCAACCTTGACAACACGACACAGAAAGCTACGAGGTGCGCCGGCAACCGGACCCCCCCCTCCTCCCTTGTAAGCCCCACCCCCGTGGTCTGTGTTGCCGAGCGAGCCTAACCGGTCAACCAACCAGCCTGCCAACAAACCAGCCAACCAACTCAGTCTGCAACCGTCTCCGACACGGCACCACTGCCACGAGCGGCCAAAAACCGTACACCGCCGTCCCTGTTCACCCCGCCCCGGCTGAAAGTAACCCCACCCCCTACCCGCCTCACCCTACAGCTTCCTCAAAATTCACCGCGCCCCCTGTTTTGAAGCCCCGCCCTTCTCGTTGCTGTCACTCTGCTCTGTCTTTTTCTTTTATCACCTGAACACATTCACACACAAACATGACACACATACACATACAGTGAAAAGATGAACACGCTTAAATGTCAATGCACACACGCACACACACACACACGCACACACACACACCTCCCCCTTCCCTGCCTGCATTGGTGTATTTTGTAAAAAGAAAGAAATCATACAGAAATTTAAAACGTGCGTAAAAAGTTGTTGTAAAAGAAGAAGAAAAAAAGATAATGCTACTGAGAGGTTTCGATGTTTGTCTGACTAATCCAGTGAGTATGTATAAATATTGGGAAAAAAAATTGTTTTGCTTGGATTCATTTAAAAGAAGCAACACAATGTGTCTTGGTTTTGATTGATGTGGTTTCTAATCCTTTGATGTACTTGTTTTTTTTTTTTTTTGTACTTTTTTGGAACTTCAGACAAAGAATAAACAAATGAAATTCAGACAGTTGTTGAAATAAACCTTTTTAAAATGACCTCTCTGGATCCTGTGTTTTCCTCCGTGTCCTGCTTTTTCCTTCCCTCTGAAATCCGACGCTCTCTGCATGGCTTTGAACGCAACGTCTTTGCTCCCTGCTGTCATACGTGTGCTTTACTCTCACTCAGTCGTTGTCGAGGTTAAACGCATTATGATTTTTTTTTTATTTCCACATCTGCGGTACTTAATTTACAATCAGATTCTACTTTTGATTCACTCCAGATTATTAGAATCAATTCAGAACTGAGAGCTGCAAGCTGCATGCGACTCCGTGCATTTCATGTTTGGATTGTAAAATGTTTTCAACTACAGAAAAAACATTCAGTTTTGATTTCGAATTCTTATAAACAAGCTTACAAGTTTTAAAAGAAATTAATAACCCCTTAACAGTCACTGCTGAAATTACTTAAAAACCTTTCGACATATTTTATTTTTTGTAAGGGTGTCAACCTAAAAGTAAGAACTGGAGAAAGTCTTTTGACACCCTAGTTTTCAAAATAAAAGCCCCCGGTAACATCTGGAAACATTTAAAAGCAACTGCACCGTTTTTGCCCACCAGTGGAACAAAGACTGTTAAGTGGTTTTAAAACATTAAATAAAATCTATGTTCAATTTTGCATTTCTATTTTGGTATTACAGTAATTTTACGGTACTGCACAACCTCTCCCAACCACTCAGTGTGGGAGCAACTGTGCAGAAACGATTAGATGATTGGTTCTTCTTTATTCTGTGAAACATTAACCATGGCCTTAACAGAAAGTCTTGCAAACATTTAATGGGGAAGTTGCTCATACAGTATCCCCACAAAATATGGATGAAAACAGAAAAAAATCAGCGAGTCGACGACGTGAGGTTTTTCATCTCTGATGGCTCTCCTGTTTGAGAAATTGTCCTCGCAGCACATAAATCATGACAACAAACACCAAGAAGCAGTCTGCTGCTTCTGCACGTTGCCTTCCTCCAGAGATGCTTACTCTGTTTCCAGCTGGACACGCAGATGCTGACGTGCTTAAAACCGCAAAATCAAATCACTTTGGAGCGCACAAACAGAGATGATTAATACATCTGCAGACTTCTACGTTGGGTTGTTAAAAATCAGCTTGAGAAAATGTCACATTCCTGCAAACAATGGGTTTCAGTTGTGTCGGTTTGAAGGTTCTAACCATGCAGACAAATATTGACACTTTGTTCCCAAAGCTGGTTCCCACAGACGCACACTTGTTCTCTGATAAACAGCCATGAATGTGCCTCAGATGAGGCCTGCAGCCTTTTGTAAAGTCCCTCCTTTGGTTCACAGGAAAAGTAACAACAGCTTTGTGCTGGATCCTTCCCAGGGCTGAGGGGTAATGGATAGAGGGTGGGTGGGTGGGAGGTCTGGGTACGCTTCCCTTTCTTCAGATAAAAAGACAGAGAACTGAGGAAGCTTTCAGACCGCCCCAAAGGTAAAATAAAAGACTTAAAAAAACAGAATGGCAAAAAGCAAAAAACAGCAACAGCAGCAATTAATATTCTCTTGGTTCCTGCCAGGCGTTAACACACTCAGCCGCATTCTGACACACACACACACATTACAACACAGAAGGGTGAACAGAGGAGAAGCTACAAGTACCAGCAGACACCATGGCAACAAGTGGGCTTCATCAAAAGACAGAAATAAAAAAAGATGGAGGTGGGCTTCAACGGTTTCCTGAAAACTGCCTGTTCATTATTTCAAATTAAAGCCCAGTCCTTTAAAGGGATCCCTGATTAGTTGTAACATTAGACTTTATTTGATAAACATGCATTTTAACTGTAAAATAAAGACTGTAAAAATACTGTAGGCTGTTTGGTTTTGTAAATTTTTAAAAATATATTTTAACACGGACAGAGCCATTTTATTTACACACAAAGCATTCTGGGTAAATGATGACATGGATAGGTCCTCGTGAGCGAGCTGTATCCACCCTGAAGGTTAATCTTGGACAATATCTGATGATTTGCTCTGTTGTCCTCCATCCATATTTTCAGTTCCAGGCTGAGTCATTTCTACCTTCTCCTCTCTGTCAACGCTCTCTGGTTTCATTTAAAAGAGTCGATCATCAGATATTGTCTAAGATTAACCTTCAGGGTGGATATAGCAGCCTCGCACCGAGGACCTATCCACGTCATCGTTTACCCAGAATGCTTTGTGTGTAAATAAAATAGCTCTGTTCGTGTAATATATTTTTAAATGTTGAGTTTAAAAATGATAAAAACTAAACATCCCACAGTATTTTTACAGTCTTTAATTTACAGTTAAAATATATATTTATTAAATAAAGTCTAATGTTACAACTAATCATGGATCCCTTTAAAAGAACAACGTTTCTAAGATAATCTGTAACCCTTTCTTTTACAGTCCCCAATTTACCATGCCATTACCTAGCATTTACATGCTAAGTAATATCATTTTACCACACAATTACTTGTTAATTACAATAATTTACCATGTAATTACTTGGTAAGAACACATTTTAAATACTGTGTAATTAAACTAAATTTAGTGGGTAATGCTGTTACAATTACAGTTCAATGGTATCTCAATTACCTACTATTTGCCAAAAAATTGCCAACTTTTTTTTACTGTTACCTAATTACCATGTTATTATAAAGTGTATACTTAGAAAATTACTATTTAAATAAACTAATTTAGTGATCTTAATAATCCATCAACTACCCAGCATTTACCAATAAAGTACCAACTAAATTTCCACAAATAAATACAGTCCCTAAATAACATGCCATTACCAGTAAACTATGTTACTTTAATTGAGTAACTAAAATCAAAGTACTGTTCAGTAGTATCTCTATTATATATTATCAACCAAAATAATACAAACAAATAGAAACACATGCTCTTACCAAATAATTACTGTCAGACACGGTGTAGGAAAAACTCAGGGTGCAGGCAGGTTCAAAAATCAAAAACCTTTAATAGAACTCAAAAAGGCTGGTAGAGCAGCACAAAAACTCACTGGGTAGTTGAGGGTACAAGGAACATGAAGACGTGAGATGGTCAGGGTTGACAATACAATGATCCGACGCAGACTGAACACAGGACAGAATATAAAGGCAAACTCATGATTACAAACAAGAAACACCTGGGGGAAACTCAAGGTGAGTGTGGGCGGGGCATAAATGAGAGAACACAGGGGAAACACTGAAACACTAGGAAAACCAAGGCATAGAAAACAAACTATGACAATTACATGGTAAAGTATTGTAATTACTAAGTGATTGCATAGTAAAATGTCTTTACTTAGCATGTAAATAGGTAGTTGCATGTTAATAAGGGGTCTGTAAAAGAAAGGGTTATCAGATCATCTTATGAAGATAAGGGATGGAGATCCCAAAATTTTGTTTCAAACGTGGAAACAATCATCAGAGTATAGATCAGCGACTTCCACAACTAATTCTAGGTCAATATATGTCAAACGAACTTGAGTGAAAAATGTCTCTTTTCCTGTTTATTTATCCTGTTTGGAGTCAATCTGAAAAAGACAAGTTTTAATAGCAGCATCTTCACACTTGATCCTTCAAAGCAGCATAAAAGTGACTCAAACAGAACATGAATGTGTTTTTTTTAAGCCCTCTGAGCGCTTCATCTTGTCCCTTTTTGTTTTCGCTTTCACTCCTCTGCTGCTGGCAGCGATGTCATGCATCCTCAGGGCTGTTGTTGCCATGGAAACCGGGTTTGAAGCTGACATTGTTAAATCCAAACTTTACCCCTTCGTCTCCTTTCGCCTGCAGACGAGCTCGCTCCCTGACAGGACAGACCAAACAGATTAAAAGACTCGTGCGGCTCGACTGTCGTCTAGTAATTTGCCACGGACCATCAGGGAATTAAAAACATCCATCAGCTCCACTTTGGACTCAACGCTTCACCCCGCAGACAACCCTAATCTGTCCCATCAGATAAAACCGTCCTCATCAAGACTTCAGTCAGATTTAGTTTCCGTGTTGGTGACAAATTGGATCTCGTGTTAAAAGATGAGGATCAAAACAGCCAAAACAAATCCTTATGTTCTGAAATTTGATAATAACGAAGCTACAAAACACTCATAAATGTCTGAGGTTGTAAAGAAAGTTTAAAAAAAATTAATGCAACATAAAATAATCCTAATTTAAAGGAGACGTGTCATGGAAAATCCACGTTTTAGCTGGTAAATACATTTTGTGGTGTGTTTGGAGTAGGAGGCAGAAAATTTGAATATAGTCTCTATTTTTTAACCTCTGACCTTTTCTGAACTATTACTTATTTGTGACTGAACTGCTAAATAAGAAGATCAGTGTTCTTCATTCTCCTCTGGCTCCAACATGTAAGGCTGGATGGACAAGCCTTCCCTTGTTGACATATTTTAATTCATTTGTAAATAAAAAGTTTCTGTGCAGCTATATAGTCGTAAACCCCTCTGTCATAGGAGAATGGACCATTTTGGAAGCTGAAGGGGGCAGGGTTTAAAGAGACAGCCTCAAAATGAGTTTTTCTTAGACACACTTCAGAAAAGGGGCGGGACTTGTGGAGTTACAAAGAGGAGGATATCAGACCAAAGCATTGCAGTTCCACTTTATACAGACCCCATGATGGATTTAAATGTGAAAAAAAACATTAATTTAGAGCTGGCATCCCTTCAAATTCTGCAAAGTTTTTAATACAAATAGATTTTTTATTTTACCAAACATATTTCAGAAGAAAATGTAATAAAGTTTATGGAAAAGCAACATAAGCATGTGAAGCTGACGTCTTCCTCTGATGCTCTGCGTTGAGCCAGATGGAAGCTGGGATTCAGCGACAGCTGCTGATTGGCTGATGGTGGGCCGGAATCAGGATCGTCAAGTATTATGAACAGAGTTGTAATGTAACTAAGTACAAATACTTTATTACTGTACTTAAGTAGAAATTTCGAGTATCTGTACTTTACTTGAGTAATTATTTTTCACCTTTTAC